TTTTTTTTTTTTGTTTTGGTCATGGAGCTTGAACTCTAGGCCTGAGTGCTGTTCCTCAGCTCTTCAGCTCAAGGCCACAGTGCCACTTCTGGTGGTTTATTAGAGATAAAGAGTTTCATGACTTTTCCTGTCTGGGTTGGCTTTAAACCATGATCCTCAGATCTCAGGCTCCTGAATAGCTAGGATTACTGGTGTGAGCCACCAGCTCCGGGTTTCTAAAATATTTTCCACATTAAATTTTCTGATTATAGTGAAAAGCGTATTTTTATATCCCAGTGGGTACCGTGTTGACTGGCACATTGTAAGTAAGTTTATATTGGTATATGTACAGTGGATAACTTTTTTTAAAGTTCGAGGTAGCCAACTACAGTCCACCTGTCTGTCACCTTAACTCTAGTTTCTCCCCTTCAGTTCCTGACTAGAAAATGACTCTTCCTTTTTTCCCCCACAGCTGTCATGGAAATGATGAGCCAGAAGATTCAACAGCTCACAGCCCTGGGAGCAGCTCAGGCTACTGCCAAGGCCTGAGAGTATGTTGGAGAAACAGGGCAGAGGGGGATCCCACTTCAAGGGGCCTGGGACTTGACGGCATGGACTTCTGGTGGTGGGGAAGGGAAGAGTCTTGTGTTTAACGCTAATAAATGTGCCCTCTGGGCAGAATGTTTTTCTTTCCTTGCATTAAGCCTGGGACTGGTGTGATGGAAGGGGCGTGGTGGAGAGGGTGGGCGAGGCCTCCCAGTGTCAACAGAGCTGCGAGGATTGCGCTCTCCGCCCGCGTGGGATGGTTGCTTTGGGAACCGCGGGCAAGCGGAAGTGGGACCTTGCGGGCCGCTTCCCCTTCCGGGTCGGCGTTCGCGCCTCCCTGCCCCGGGAGCCTCATGAGCCGCCGCTTCCTGCTTCTGCTATCCGGGTCACTCCTCCAAACCCGCTGCCGCATGCTTAGCCCCGACCCCATCCTGCCTCCTAAAAGGCCTCGCAGGGACCTCATGGCTCGGCCTCGGATCGGGACGCACAACGGCACCTTCCACTGCGACGAGGCGCTGGCGTGCGCACTGCTTCGCCTCCTGCCGGAGTACAAGGTGAGCCGCCTGGGCCGCGAGCCGCGGGGGCCCCGCTCCCGGCCCGCGTCCCCGGAAGGTCCCCGGCGTCTGCCTGTGTCTCCGACGGGCTCCCTGACTGGGTCCTCCGAGCCCCTCCCCGCCTGGGAACTCAGCCACCCTCTCCTGGCAGCCCCTCACCTGTGTCTCCCGACAGGATGCAGAGATTGTGCGCACTCGGGACCCTGAAAAACTGGCTTCATGTGATATCGTTGTGGATGTGGGTGGCGAGTACGACCCTCAGAGACACCGCTATGACCATCACCAGAGGTGGGCTTCCGACTTCTTTGATGTCAGCTTTCCTCTGCTCCAGTTGGGCCCTCCACTGGCGAGGCCCATGTCAGCCAAGGGAACTGCTGGGTCACTGAAGTCAGACTCCAGGCTGCAGCTAATCCCCTGGCACATCTCCTCAGTCTGCATCCTCCCTTTGTTGGCTCCCAGTTACTCCCTAACACCCGTCAATGGGAATCCATTCATCCTCCTTGTTGCCCCAATCCAGACTTTATTTACTCTCTTCTACTTTGAAGCTCTTGTTCAAGGTAGTCCATTATCCACAACACTACTGCAATCCTTTTCCCTCACAGCAAATCCTCACATCTCAGTGAGCAGCCCCATCACCGCCTCCTCAACGAAGTGGAGCTCTCTTTGCACTCATTTCCCCAGTTTCCCATCTTCAGAAACCCTCTTGGTGACTTTCCTCTGGGAGTTCACATTACAATTCTGCCCACTACCACCTGTTTTTCCTTTGCTACTGCCTAAAACTATTCAAGCCTCTTCCATCTTGAAAAAAAAATCTTTCCTCAATTATGTTATACTAATCCACTATATTGTTAAAATTAGTTTATTACCAGTTTCCCATAGCTCACGCCTGTAATCCTACGTACTCAGGGGTCTCAGATCTAAGGGTCGTGGTTCAAAGCCAGCCTGGGCAGGAAAGTCCTTGAGACTTTTTTTTTTTTTTGTGAACATACTGTACAGAGGGGTTAAAATTACATGGGCAAGATAATGAGTACATTTCTTATCAAGCATTGCAGCCTCCTCCTTTGTTTACCCTTCACATCCCTTCCCAGCCCCCCCCCCAAGTCCTTGAGACTTTTATCTCCAATTAACCACCAGAAAACCAGAAGTGGCCAGTGCTGGTGGCTTACGCCTGTAATACTAGCTGTTTAAGATGCTGAGATCTGAGGATTGTGGTTTGAAGCCAGCCCAGACAGAAAAGTCCATGATACTCTTATCTCTAGTAAACTACTCAGAAAAAGCAGTAGTGCCACTGTAGCTCAAGTAGTAGAGCTCTAGCCTTGAGCTAAAGAAGCTCAAGGACATTGCCCAGCCCTGAGTTCAAGCCCCAAGGCCAGGGGAAAAAAAATTAATTATCCCTTGAGAGGTTGTAAAAATGTCTTTAGGGGGGCTGGGAAGGTACCTCAGTGGTAGAGCGCTTGCCTTGCATGCATGAGGCCCTGGGTTCAATTCCTCAGCACCACATAAGCAAAAAAGAAAAAAAGCCGGAGGTGGCGCTGTGGCTCAAGTGGTAGAGCGCTAGCCTTGAGCTGAAGAGCTGAGGGACAGCGCCCAGGTCCAGAGTTCAGGCCCCACGACTGGACCCAAAAAGAAAATGTTTTAAGGTTCTATTCCTTTGTTTTCTTTTTCCCTTGGTTTTTGTTTGTACATAAACTATCTTTGTGCTCAAGGCTAGTACTCTATCAGTTGAGCTGGAGTTCCACTTCCAGATTTATTTGGTGGTTAATTGTGGAGTCCAAGAGTTGCAAGTACTATCCTGCCCATGCTGGCTTTAAACCATGATCTGCGCACCTCAGACTCTTTAGTAGCTAGAATTACAGGCATGAACCACCAGCAAAAAGAAATGTTTTTGATACGGTACTTACAACCTAATCTCTCACTCTCACATCTCAGCTAAACACTGGAGTCATCTCTCCTTTCCTCAGCCCACTCCCAGTGACACTCTCCCCACACCCTCCCCCCGGAACTGCTCAGTGAGGTAGCACTAGCATCCTCAGTACCAAACCAGGGAGCTGGCACAACTTACCTTAACCAGCCCTTTGTGGTACTTGGCATTTTTTTTTACTATTTTCTCTTTTCAATGGTTTGACTATAGGCACATTAAAACATTCAGTATTTGATACATAGAAGAGCATAAAGTGAACATCTATGAACCAATCTCTTAATCTAAAATCTAGATTACCTTTACATCTGTACCTATGTGCTTATTCCCACATAAGCAATATTCAAAGTTCTGGGTAAGCAATATTCTATTTTTTTGTTTTTTGTTTTTTTTTTGCGGGGGGTGGGGGGTCCACTGAGCCACCTTCCCAGCCCGTAAGTTCTATGTTCTATACTTGTTCACTCTCTATGCAGTTTACCATGTCTATTTTCATCAACAGTATATTCCATTATATTCCATTTTCTTTTTTTTTTTTTTCCTGTCGGTCATGGGGCTTGAACTCTGGGCCTGGGCACTGTCCTTTCAGCTCAAGGTGAGCGCTCTACCACCTGAGCCACATCACCACATCCAGTTTTCTGGTGGCTTATTGGAGACAAGAGTCTCATGGAATTTCCGGCCCAGGCTGGCTTTGAACTGTGATCCTCAGATCTCAGCTTCCTGAGTAGCTAGGATTCCAGGTGTGAGCCACCGGTGCACTTTAAACTTTAGAGATTATTGTGTCTTTTGTGTTTTTTTGTTAGTTTTGTTTGTCATGGGGCTTGAACTCCTCAGCTCTAGGCTAGCACTCTACCACTTGAGCCACAGCACCATTTCTGGTTTTCTGGTAGTTTATTGGAAATAAGAGTTTCACAGATTTTCATGCCTGGGCTGGCTTTGAAGTATAATCCTGAAATCTCAGTCTCCTGAGTATCTAGAAGTACAGGTGTGAGCCACCAGCACCCAGTGTGTCATTTGTTTTTATACCTTCTAAATAGTTTATGTTCTGCGTCTATTCAATGTTTAATAATAAAAGCTCTTGAACATGTATGTGATTCTGAGATGATTGGTATTCAGAAATCAGCTGAGTTGTCTGGAGGTGAAGCTCAAGTGTTGTGCTTAGTATGCTCAAGGCTCTATAGGTTTGATCCTGAGTACCAAAAATATGAATGTAATTCTTATACTAGAAATTGTGCCTGCAGTTTTTACTTCCCTAACACCTGACCCACTGCTGTTCACATTCCTGCCTTTCTTACTTACATAGACCATTACAGTTAATCTTGAATTTGTTCTCCATATTGGCTAGTACAGCACTAACCTGTGCTTACCTACCTAAAGACTCCCAGGGGCCATCTACAGATAAAACCCAAAGTAGCATGCAAGGTCCACCTGCCATTTCACCTCATCTTTTGCCACTTAACCCCCCCTCATAACTAAAGCTGCCTTTCTTGCAGTTCCATAAGGAGACTGCTCTAGGCTGGATGTTTCCTCTGCTGGAATGTCTTCCCTCACCCCTTGTCTGTCTAGTGAATATCCATTATATTTTTCAGGATTGAACTGAAAACATTTCCCTGAATCCTTTCGTTCATCCCCTACTTCCTTTACCTAGCCATAACCTAGCTAGAGTACAGTCAGCTCTCCGTATCTGTAGGTTCCATGTCTGTCTATGGGCTCAACCAACAGTGGATCAAAAAAATTAAGTGTAAATTAATTGTACAAAGGGATTTTATTAGCCGGTGCTGGTGGCTCACACCTGTAATCCTAGCTACTCAGGAGGCTGAGATCTGAGGATCGTGGTTCAAAGCCAGCCCGGGCAGGAAAGTCCATGAGACTCTTATCTCCAATAAACCACTAGAAAACCAGAAGTGGCGCTGTAGCTCAAGCTGAAGAGCTGAGGGACAGTGCCCACACCCAGAGTTCAAGCCCCGTGATTGACCAAAAAAAAAGCGGGGGGGGATTTTATTGTGATATTTATGTACACATAATATTTGAGATTTTGTGTTACTTGTGTCCATGTCATGGAGCTTGAACTCAGGGCCTAAGTGCTGTCCTGATCTTTTTTTGTTCAAGGCTAGTGCTCTGCCACTTGAGTTATAACTCCACTTCTGGCTTTTTGGTGGATAATTGGAGATAAGAGCCTCACAGACTTTCCTGCCTGAGCTAGCTTCAAACCCCACTCCTCAGATTTCAACCATCTGAGAAGCTAGGATTATAGGCATGAGCCACTGGCACCCAGCTTTTTTTTTTTTTTTTAACTTAAGTTGCATCTGTATTGACTATGTCCAGATTATAAGTAATCTAGAGATGATTTAAAGCATACAGGAAGGGCATACAGCATATAAAAGACCTTAAGGATTTGTAGATTTCGGTTTCTATAGGGGGTTCTGGACCTAGTCCCCCCTAGGTATTGACTATCTGTGTAGTTACTTGGTTGGTGTGTTTGTCTACCTCCTGCAGATGAATTTTTTTTTCCCCCAGTCATGGGCCTGAACTCTGGGCCTGGGACTGTCCCTCAGCTCTTCAGCTCAAGGCTAGCACTCTTACCACTTGAGCCACAGGGCCACTTCCAGCTTTTTTTGCCTATGTGGTGCTGAGGAATTGAACCCAAGGCCTCATGTATGCAAGGCAAGCACTCTACCACTGAGCCACCTTCTCAGCCCCCAGCAGATGAATTTGACAGGAAAAGTCAAGATCTTAGCTCTTTCTCCTAAGCGTGTAAAACACAAAACATGGAAAGTAGTAAGAATTGAGTTCTAGCTGTTGTTGAGTAACATACAGTGTCCTCATCCACTGACCACCCATGTATGCACTGTACCCTCACACACACCCAACTTGGTTAGCCAGGGCCAGCTCCTTCACCTCAGCCCCAACTCCCTGTGTTCCTCAGGACTTTCACAGAGACCATGAGCTCCCTGTGCCCTGGGAAGCCGTGGCAGACCAAGCTGAGCAGTGCGGGATTGATCTATCTGCACTTCGGGCACAAGCTGCTGGCCAAGTTGCTGGGCACTAGTGAAGAGGACAGCATTGTGGGCACCCTCTTTGACAAGGTGGGGACTGAGGACAGAGATGTCCACATGTGCATTCTCTACCAGCCTGGCTGGGAGTGGCACTCATGCAGCACTATACTAGGCATTGGGTGGGGGCTCCTGGACCATATGGGACCCAACAGTCTCCCTCCTGTCAGGCTCATCTCTCACAGGATGGTCTCTTCCCATCTGCATCCTGGTGGCTGTGACGAATGGATGACTTAATACATGAGAAGGGCTTTGTGTTTTATGTTTTAGAGATGGGGGTGCTATTGGCCAGGCTGGACTTAAACTCCTTAGCTGGAACTACAGGTGTAACCCTCTACCTTTCTCAGGAAGGGCTTTGAAAGCCACAAAAGCAGAATTTCACATATGTATGGCAGCATTTCCTGGCATACATAAAAAAAATTAGTCAGGCGCCAATGGCTCACACCTGTAATCCTAGCTACTCAGATGTCTGAGATCTGAGGATCACAGTTGAAGCCAGCCCAGGCAGGAAAGTCCATGAGACACTTTTTTTTTTTTTTTTGGTCAGTTGTGGGGCTTGAACTCTGGGCCTGGGCACTGCCTCTCAGCGCTTCAGCTCAAGGTGAGCACTCTACCACTTGAGCCATAGCATCACTCTCAGTTTGGGTGGTTGATTGGAGATAAGAGTCTCACTGACTTTCTTGCCCAGGCTGGCTTTGAACCACTATCCTCAGATCTCAGCCTCCTGAGTAGCTAAGATGACAAGCTGAGCCACCAGCACCCAGCTCCATGAGACTCTTATCTCCAATAAACTAGCCAGAAAAAGCCAGAAGTGGCACTATGGCTCAATTGGTAGAGCGCTAGCCTTGAGTACAGAGAGGCTCAGGAACAAAGCCTAGGCCCTGAGTTCAAGCCCAGGTCTGGCCAAAAAAAAAAAAAAGTTTAAGCCAGTCACTGGTAGCTCATGCCTGTAATCCTAGCTGGAATCTGAGGATTATGGTTCGAAGCCAGCCCAGGCAAGAAAGTCCATGAGAGAGACCCTTATCTCCAATAAAAGCCAGAAGTGGAGCTGTGGCTTAAGTATTAGAACACTAGTTCTGAGCAAAAAAAAGGACAGCACCCAGGCTCCTGAGTTCAAGCTCAGACTGGGGTGAAGGGGAGCTTGCTCCGTGCCTTCCAGTAGAGAAGGCAGCTGGTACTTGGTTTCCCTGAAGAAGAGCCTATCACTGGTGATAGGAAACGCGAGAAGGACTTACTACAAAAACGTCTCCAGGTTCCACCAGTGTCCTCTGCAAGCAACTTTTGGATGTTGTGAAACAAGGCTGGCGGCTTTGGCCAATCCAGTCAAATATACTGGACACCTATATGACCCTCCTATGAAGTACATACATCAGACTTCAAATTCACTCAGTCCCTATCACCACCACCCCAAAAAAACAACTTCAGATTCAGTCAATTGTATTTTTGTTGTTGTTGTTGTTGTTTTGGTCAGTCGTTGGGCTTGGGCGCTGTCCCTGTGCTCTTCAGCTCAAGGCGAGCGCTCTGCCGTTTGAGCCACAGCACCACTTCTGGTTTTCTGGTGGTTTATTGGAGATAGGAGTCTCAAGGACTTTCCTGCCCCAGCTGGCTTTGAACCCTGCTCCTAAGATTTCAGCCTTGTGAGTAGCTAGAATTACTGGCGTGAGCCACCGGCACCTGGTTTCAGTCAGTTTTTTTTTGTTTTGTTTTGTTTTTTTGGGTCCGGTCGTGGGGCCTGAAATCTGTGCCTGGGCGCTGTCCCTCAGCTCTTCAGCTCAAGGCTAGCGCTCTACCACTTGAGCCACAGTGCCACTTCCAGCTTTTTTCTTTTTGCTTATGTGG